ACTCGCACTATGTACATTTTAGTACTAGATCTAGTGCCGTTTTAGCACTAGATCTAGTGCCATTTTAGTACTAGATCTAGTGCCATTTTAGCACTAGATCTAGTACTTTTTCGGATTAGTGCTACTAGCACTAACCACTCGCACTATGTCCATTTCGACACGTTTACATACCTCCATTATGATCTTATTGGTGTTGCAAAGGATAGTTGAATATTGTTTATTAAAATTAATAATCCCCCATAACCGTTTTCCAATATAGATAAATTATAGTACAAATGTATAACTCAGTCTCAACAATGAAATAAATGTATATATATATATATATATTTACATTATTACTAATGCATTGCAAGAAATTGCAATATAAATATTCCGTCAGTAACACTTCTCAAGGGCGTATGTCAGTGTTATTTACGAAAATATTTGTTTATAATTTTATAAACTGGCTTGGCAATTCCCATCCCAATTAGATATAATGTGTACATATTTTAATAAATAAAATCAAAGATACACTAACAAAAATGAAATATTAATTATTTTATTATATAACCTGCACAAAAGTAATCAATATTTTTCCTTGCTAGAATGATGTGTAACTTCATATGGGAATCCTGATAAAGTTCACAGCTGGCGATTTCGTATACACGTATCAGGGATATAGTCAACTTCTTGTGAATTTGATTACCTAACGTTTTTAGGTTCATGTGCTGCAAGTTACAGAGCACATACCTTAGCGGTCGTCCCTCAGCAAATAATGAAGCAAAGGCATTTTTGATGTCAAAATCGAGAAACTCTCCCTTTTTACGCAAACTGGGAAGTTCAGGATGACAAAGATGAAATATCCAAGAACCAAAACTTACCAAAAATTATATCTCAAAGGTTAATATTCGTGGTGTATTTTAAGTCTAACCGGACCGGAAGTGGGAATTTGTTAGTACTCTAAATATTCAAACATATTTTAGTATAAGGTAGTAACCATTGCTTAATCAAGGCCCACCAAATGCGAGGGAGGGTCCGGGGGACTTCTCAGTTAAAAGTTTTGAAATTTAGATGCCTTTAGATGCAATCTGGGGCGTTTCCCCAGACATAAATCTCGGCAACCTCAAGACAATTTTTCATCGTAAAATGCACCGGCAATGGAAAAAAATCAATAAGATTTTTTTTATCTTATTTAAACTACAAAAACAAATTAATCACCCCGCCAGTCTATTGGTTACCTAATGCGTTGACTTACGTTAACGCCATGTTAAGATTGTGCTAACATAAGCACCTCATTAACTTTGATAGCTTTGTTGCATGCAAATGTTACGTGATCGCGTGTGCAACAAAGTTGGTCGAATTTTGAATTTGAATTGAATCCCAGTATTTGAATTCGGGCAAACATTTTACATTTTTAATAAAAAATATAACTATGTATTTTTTTATGTCCAATGTCATTTGGATTATATAAAAAATATATAATTACCGGTATAAAAAAAAATAACATAGTCACATTGCAACATAGTTATTTAGAATGATACAGTACGACATACAAAGTATATTTTTTTGCTTACGTTGTCGGCAAATATGTGTGCATTTAGTTCATTTGCGATTCGGTAAAATACTGACTAGTGTAAAGTTGTACAAATTGTACTTCGATTTTTGTACAAATTCGGTAATCATTCGTTTCTTAGATATACCAATTCAGTTTGACAATAACACCTTTGATTTGTGTTAAGTAAAAGAAACCTTTCGCAAACCAAACAGACGTGCTGTGCCATGTCAGACGGGAAGTGACGCTGACATGTCTTATTCTGGCATTTTATGCATGTATTTATCATCAATTCCAAGAGTGAATGTCGTAACTTTCGAAGTATTACGAGTATGACTTGTCAATACATTTCACTTATATTTATTACATTTAAATAAAGTTTAAAATAGTTGAGCCTTCCGGATTCGAGCCTCTTCTTAATTTGACGACGGTAGGTATCATGTTTATTCTTTGTCTGTATCGCATTCCAGACAAAATGTTCAAGAGTGGTAAACAAGAAATGAACAAACTAAAATGTCTTGTGTGTTTCATGTGTGTTGTGTTATTACAGTACCGCCGGATATACCGCCGGTAATAACAATTTTACATGAAAGAAAAAGGTAACGCTCCTGTTCAGTGCCTGACTTGGGGTAAAAGTTCGGTCAACACACACTTGATGTCAGCATCGCCCCGTTGCAAGTTTCGCAAAGTACTTGAAGTTCAATTGTGCACAAAATGATGTCGGCGATTACTAAATTGTTGCAGTCCATGATAACACCCTGTTTCGACTCTGGCTTGCTTTTCCTTCTTAGTGCATGTTCTTGTTCACGTCAAATGCGACCTCTCATTAATGTATTAAAACACTTTGAATTTATACTTATGGAGGATTATATTTGGTCATTTTAGCATGGCACTGAAGAATCTTACCCTGGCGACGCGATATTTAGCCTGACGGCGTATGATTTTACCATGGCGGCCCGCCCTACCAAATCAACGCGTTGAGAACACTGCATTCTGCCAATGTACTTGTAATATCAAGAGTCATACATATGTAAACCGAAAGAAACTCGTATCATTTTTTTATTTACCATTTTACTTGAAATTTCTCTTATTCTGAAATACCGTAATAGCGATATGAACAAGTGGTCTATTTTACTAATTGTGTTTATGTAATGTAATAGCAAATTCTTTGTGATTTGTCAACCTTGAAAAGATTTATTCAACTGGAATTAGGTATGTTGTCATTTTGATTTAAAAAGTCACAATTTGGTGATTATTCAAAATTTGGGACTGTGAAAATCTATAATTTATTTTCTTGTTAGAAAACAATACATTTAGTAAGTACAGGAAAAATCGTCAAAATCGGTCTGCAACTACCGGTAGTTTAAGGGCTAAGGTATCTGCTGTCTACCTTAATTGACGAAATAGACATATAGAAAGCATTCAAGCCTGGCAGTTGTTATTTTGTCCCAATTCTCATCTGACAATTTCCTCTGGGTGACTATCTCTGTCTCCTTAATCATTGTTTTTTTTCATTCTATAGTGAGGTATCTATGGCAACACATGTCTCTAGTCACGACTAGTTGAATAAATCTAAAGATCACACAGAGTGATACAAATATTCAATAGCAAATACTTTCTGTATGACATGTCTTATTACTTTGATCATGTGTTCGATTTTTATTTTGTTTCGCATCATTTGCCAGTATGATCAAAGATGTACACTGATAAATTAGTCTAGCTTGAAAGTTGAAATCAAGTAAATAAACACTTTTATTTTTACATTGCCTTAGCATTAAATGAAGGAGTGTTTTATGGGAGGGAAATGTCTTTTCTTCTTATCGATGTTGTTTTTGTCTAAAACCCTTGTTTTTTTTGGGTTGGAATAACTCAATATTTGTGCAACAATCAAGTGGAACTTCCCATTGTGAATGGTACTGACACTAATCTTTCTATCTTGACTGTAATCTCTGTAATTAGACCTTCAGAATGTAGTCTGAAAGATTACATATGTTTTGGATTCTATGTGAATTTGTGGGTGTCACGCTTCATTTCTTGGACATGCCTGGACAATTTTGTTAAAAGGTGGTACATAATGGGAGCCATATGCATGTCGTCAATTTGTTTTTGTTTTGTTGATGTTACCATCAAAAATCAATATTTGAACAACCATTTTTCAGGGATGCCTAGGCGTCTATCATTCAAACTTACTATGAACATAACACAAGGTTTTTTGTGATTTGATTGAAAATGGGCAACTGGCAGCCATGTTGGTTTTATTATACAATGTACCCCAGATATAGTGGTTACCAGGCTACAGAAATTTAAATTGGCCATTTGTAGGAAGACATAAATGATGATAATGTAATATACTTACTTGTGACCATGGGGGTTGATCTGTTCTGAAGTTTTTGCTTAAACACAGAGTGAAATGAGACAATAGGCAAATTAGCTACTAAATATGCCTGAACATTGCCCTAAAACCACAGCGGGTGAAGCAAGGAGGTAAACCTCCGTGGGTGGTGGTAGGACTTGCATAACAAAGCTCTACAGATGTGTGCAGCCAAAAGAGGAATTCCTTTTTCAGCCACAGTGTCTGCATTGGGGTCCATTTTCTAATCATGTCTGCATATTATCCCAAGGTTCATGTACTTATATGTACTAAATTTGATCAAAATTCGCAAGTTTTTGAGATTTTGCTTACTCAGGCTGAAATTAAATAATTAATATGCTACTTAGTTACTTGATACATGTATGCACAGACATGACCCTAAAATTAATCATGTTTGCACATTATCGTGAGATAACTAGGTTCTAAATTTGATCATTAAGGCATTCAACCAGGAACCAGTGCTTTATTGAAGACATTGGGCTTGAGATCTGATCAACATATTTAATAACCATACAGGGTCATATGCCCTATTTCAACTTTTATATCTGAAACACAATTGCAGATAGTGCTTAAAGATGCTGAGGATCTGTCATTTCTGATGGCTTTCTTGTTTTCATATTTTATTAACCTTTTCTCAGACATGATGTGAGCAATTAGGTACAGAGACAAGACATGGTGAATACATATGTTGATCACATGGTTGGTGGCCATTTTTGTCTTGAAGGCAACATTTAAACATGTCCTACAACTGTTATTGAAATTTGCTTTGAAAATCTCACATTTGATTAAAAAATGACAAATGAATGCGTCTTGAACATGCTTCGACTGATTTTATACAAATAGGTCATTGACCCCATTTTTTTTTCAAATACAATTCCTGACAAACTATTTGTTAGCAAAAAACGAGCAGAAAGAAACTTTCTACCATAAAGTACTTTATTTTTGCTAGGTTCGTTGGGATGATCCAGTCAATATAAAATCCAGTGAAAATACATTTTTTCCTATATTTTGTTTTCATCTCATGAAAAATAAGTGAAAATAAACTCCTAACAAAACACAGCAAAATTAATTTTGGCTTGCTTGTGCTTTACTTTTTTTTCCCTATTATGAAATATTTAAACAATAAATAGGTTACTTTTTCTTGTGTTTGAATCACCAGGAACACCTGAAGCTGATAAACTACCAGATTTGAAGAAACTTCCCAAGGAGCCATGTGCTGTATGTGGAGCACCCTCATCAGGATTTCACTTTGGTGCAACAACATGTGAGGGATGCAAGGTAAGTCATTCATTGTTAGATTATTTGTGAAAGAATATCATGTATTTTGTAGAGTGGTAGTCAATAATAAATGAATGAGTCAGGGCATGCACATGTGTCTGCCGTGATTTTTATGTCTTATTTAAAAAGAAAATACCGGTAGCTGCATTTGAGCTTATGAGAATAATAAATTTATATAGTGCTATATAGTCTTTAATCAGTGTTATTTTTGAGTGCTGGAATCAAAAGATATTTGTGAACAAGGATTAAGCAAGAAATATAATCTACCGGTACATAAAATGATTTTTAAAATTACTAAAACTGCATTGAGGTTTGTTTACTTTTTTCATCTTACCAATTTTGGTGATTATGTCAGAATCACAATTTCTCACTTATCTTGAAAAAAAAAGGTGATTGTTCTCTGAAAATAACAGAAACCACACCAGACTTGTATGTATTGCCCCCCCCCCCTCCCCAAGTTCAAGGCTTGTTTGAGGTCTGTTCATTCCAGATTAGCTGACTCATACCATTATGTTTGCCTGAACCTATTTGTTGATTCTGATTATACTATCTTGTTTCAAATTTTATTATCGTGGGTTCACTATGACAAGACAAATAGTATTAGTGATATAGGAACCCAAATGACAGATAATGTTTGAGACACAGTCAACTTGTCATGAAATGTTTTAAGGAGGTTCCAACCAACATCTGACCTTTTGAGTTTAAGTATGAGTCATAGTACTGCTGTACTTGTTTGACTTAGCACTCAGGATACTCACCACCAAAAATCATTCTTAGGTGTGCACCTTCCTTCAAAACTTATGCAAATGACAATTTTAGTTCACCATGAGGGCAATATTATGGCTCATTGGGGAAATTAAAATTGCAAAATTAGTTACTGCATCATTGATTTTCACAACACACCTTTACAATGAAGAAACAGAAATGGTCACAAAAAATGTGCATATTTTATTACAATATTAATTACATACCACCAGTATTTATGATGCTAAAATTATAAGTGTCTGTGTGAACACAGTTGAAGTCAAAATCTTCATTATTAACTTTGTCAAATTGTTTTTGATTATATGCAAACTTTTGATACAAAGCAATTCTCATCATGTTTTTTCACTTGATTTGACCTACAACAAAATCCTTTGACCTGATAGGTCAAGTCTGTTGTTAACCAATCAGAATTCTGTGTTGTACCTGTGCAATTCTCTAGGAATTCTGATATCACATTGTGGAACAACACATAATTATTGATTTCGAAAAAAGAAATAGTAATTATCAATTTTTGATGGCTGTTAACAGGTGATTGACGAAGCGTAGTTTATGCATGGTTACCATGGTCTACTCATTCACATATTCATGGTGATTGATATCCACACTGTAATATGTGAATTTGATTATCGGTATTCGGAAAAGTCAAACAATGATCAAAAACTAGGTTTTATGACTAGACAGTCAAATTTGGATGGAATGAGCATCGTTTAAGACACTCTATATACACGTTTTCAATGAAATTGAGCAACCTTCTAAGGAACATTATATTTGCATTTTTAAGAGTTCATTTCTAATTTCTAGAAGTGCACATAAACTAAAAATTATACTTATTGTATGTTGGATTATTGAACTCGCGCAACATGCATGTCATTTACATAAACACACCTGTCTCATTTACATATTAGGTACATGTACTAATAACACAGCAATTGAAATATCTTTTCCATGCCACAAAGCATATGATGAGACATGAGATTTTCACTCCATTAGAAATGTGTTTTTTTTAATAAATTGCTGCATATTAATTAGCTAATTAGTGATTTAATTATCAGAACTATATCTGCCAGCAACATTGCCTTATAACAAGGTCACAGGTCCTTAGCCTCGTTTTAATACTCACTTTTTTATGAGGGTTATACAGGGTATTTTTGTACCAGTTCATTTTAAAATGCCAGAGTGATATATAGTTTCATTTTGGGGACATTAAATACTTCAATTTTGGGACATTAAATACTCTGATTCTGACATTTAGAATATTCAGTTCATGACTGATCGTCTCTTTGTGTAAAATACAGCTGGTTTTCACAAAATAATCTTTATTAATTGAGTGAGACCTATAGGTCAGTTAACCGAATTAGACACATAGAGCCAGGGACTGGCACTGTGTAGGTTTGAAATCTTAGGTATAAAAAGCAAACTGACTTGTTAAATCTAGTGATCAGTTTAAGTTCAATAACAATATCCATGCTGAGAAGATGTAATTCAAGCTCCAGTAGTATTAAATAAAGCAATTTAATGTCTACCTAGCAGTATAAGCTGGTCTGACAACACCGTGTTCTCTAGACCTGAGCAGTTACCAAACAGTCAATTTAGTCAGGGGATTATTGACAATAGAATCAAAATCGATAGTGTATCAAAATCAGAATCGGAATCAGAATCACTATCCCACTTCTGACACCAAAATGTCACAGTGCAAGGCCTGGTTATCGCAATTGAGAGGGCAACCCACAGAACTCACGCTGGACAGGGGGTTCTTTCACTGCTAGAATGGGGTAGAAAAGACAATAGTACTGAAAACACGTACACCAAAATATTGAGTTAAAGCTCCTAGCTTTTTAATACCTCTCAAAATAATTACAAGAAATAAAGCACAGAAAAATACAAATAAATAAAGTCACTAAAATAGGGCATTGGCTAGGGAAGTGTGCATTGGTGATAACTCACAGTTCCAGGATGTAGAAATGGATGACAGTCAATGGTTTCCACAACACAATGACGAAGAAATGCAGGAGACTTGCTTGCAGAGGAACGCTGTTATTCTAGAGGGCACCGCTGAAAGCAGGAGATCGTAGAGCAGTTCATCACAGAGTGATGGTTGTAGCCTGTATCACTTGTCTCACGATATCGTAGCAGCAACACACAGGATACTAAGTTGAAATGATGGACCCCAACTGTCCTCAGTCTGTCCAATTTACAGGCATAATTGGCCCAGATCTGGGACACCACCTGGGTTTCTACATGAGCCAATCAGAATGTGATCTTGCTAGCAGCTTTGTCACATAGGCAACTTAATAGATCTTAAACATCTTTTTTTATTATTCAATTAACTGCATACCTGGTAGATTCCAATTGTCCTTTCAAAGTCGTAAACACCCTTTGTTATGTAAATCACATACACACCTGGTAGATTCCAACTGTCCATTCAGAGTTGAAAACAAGTATGACCTGTCATTCACCTTTATGACAATTATCACATGGCAATGCACACCGTTTCTTCCCATGATTCCATGCACACTTCTTTTGTTATTCAATTAACAGCACACCTGGTAGATTCCAATTGCCCTTCCAAAGTTGTAAACACCCTTTGTTAGTCCCCGTTCGGTCGCAGTCCGAAAACGGGGACTTATGTTTTGACATCCCTGTGTCCGTGCGTGCGTGCGTGCGTGTGTGCGTGCGTGTGTCCGGACCTGTATCTTAGAAATGCCTGGACCAACCACAATCAAACTTCACACATACATCATACATGATATCATACATATACACGTCAATTTGTTTTATGATCTGATTCAAGATGACCAAATGGCGGCCATTTTTGTGCTAAAAATCATCAAAATCAAGCATTTCCCGGCTGCTTACAGATGGATTTTGTTCAAACCTTGTATATACGTTGGACATTATAGGACCTTGATGCACATCATTTTGTTTTACGATCTGATTCAAGATGGCCGAATGGCGGCCATTTTTGTGCTAAAAAATCATAAAAATCAAGCATTTCTCGGCTGTTTACAGATGGATTTTGTTCAAACTTGATATATACATTAGACATTATGGGACCTTGATGCAAATAATTTTGATTTTCAGATAACATTCAAAATGGCCAACTGGCGGCCATTTTGTTTTAATAAATGGGCTTCTAGACCCATATCTCCGACTTGCTTTGACTGATTATGTTTTATGTCATAGATTGGCCGAATGGTTGTCATTTTTGTGCTAAAAAATCATCAAATATCAAGCATTTCTGGCATTTATGGATGGATTTTGTTCAAACTTGGTACATACATTAAACACTACGGGTTCCTGATGCACGTCATTTTATTTTTCAGATCAGATTCAAAATGGCTGTCTGGAGGCCATTTTGTTTTAATGAATGGGTTTCCAGACCCATATGTCTGACTTGTTTTGACTGATTATGTTAAAATTTTTAATATTCATTATACCACATGTCACAGATATACGGATATATTGGTTTGACGACCCTTTTCAAAGTGGCCAAATGGTGGCTATTTTTGTGCTAAAAAAATCCTCCAATATCAAGAATTTCTTGCATTTATGGATGGATTTTGTCAAACTTATAACACACATT